GGAGCGCGGAGCTGAAGTAGGATTGCTCGGCCAAACATATCTGTACTGCTGTGGCGTGCCAAACGTGCGTGAGCCACACAATTGCGATGAGATGAGCGGCCCCAGGGAAAGAAGAAGGATTGAACAACAAACCGACCACATCGTTCGAGCTTCTGTACTGCTATGCTGGCGTCATCAGCTAGTCGTTTACGCTTGACGGGCAAGAAAGATCACGGAAAGTGCGGAGAGTCAGACAGGAGTAAGTGCCGACCATGTGAAAAAATGAACATATTGACGTTGGCCGTATTCCGCTGTGTTGTACGTAGTGTCCACTCGAGATGGAGATGATAAGCGGGCCCGCCGAAACCGGTCTGAACCCTCAACCGCGCCAGGTCGATTGAGGCGTCCGCCACCCGGTTCGTCCGGTTACCACGAGCAGGCGAGACAGAACTACCAGTGAAATATTTGGAGTGTGAGAACCGAGGCGGAACGATGAACGAACGGAAAATATCAGAAAGCTCTAAAGATCCCGGATGAGATGAGAGATGGAAATACATGAAGAATATACATGCAGTGTGAGAGCCGAGACACAAGCTGCAGGTGTATAAGAGGGAAGAAAGAGACTGGCATGCAATGTGATGTGTGTATCGATGGAGGTCAGCGGAAAAGGGCGAAAGGTTCCGCGATGAGAAGACATACATGAAGGAAGAGCGGAGAAGAAATGCCACCAAAGCGAACGGAATTTTTACAGCAGTGCAACGTACCGATATCCCGACATGGGAGCACCGAGAGACAGACTGATGGTGGCGCCTGGTTGCAAAGAGACAGGGGGGGGGGGGAGACTGCACAGAATGCGATTCCTCGTGGACGAGGAGCAGAGGAAAGTGACGACCGGAACCGCGCGCGACCGAGCCAGACGCAAGCGAGGCAGACGAGAAGAAAAAAATGTGTATAGGCGTAGAGAGGGAGCGGAATGATGAAGAAGCGCCCGAAAGATCCCTGAGAGATGGAAATGCGGCTATGTGAGCGGCCGAGAGCGCCGAAATGGAGCCCTCTCAGCGCCCGAGAGAAATTTCTCGTGCACGCTCGCGGCATATTTAAAAGGAACTATTGGAGTTTATGGGCAATGGATATCTGGTCAAATAACACGGTGGAGGTCAGGCGTGTTATGGATTCGTCGCGAAACACAGTGCAATAAGCACGCAACATCACCGATCTCGGGTGTCGTGGGCCATTGACCTGGTTGGAGTTATCATTGGAGCCTGTGGCGCGGTCGTCGTCTGAATTTTCGTCATTTGGGTCGTCGTCAATTTTGCTGTTGTTCGATTCAATTCGGTTTTCGTGATTTTTTCAACGTCTTGTGTTGGTCCAGTACCCCGAAGACATTCTTCTATATACACGTAGCGGCTACAGTTGAAGAGAAATGTTCAAGAAGAAGTACCTATTTAAGAGTCAAACTGGCTTTTCACGACCAAAATCGATATTGAATTTAGAGAGATTTTGTCATTTTTCTGAGATTTCTCTGAAACCGAACCTCTAAAGAAGACCCACGTAGCCCTCACATATCAGCCTCTTAGGCACTATGTGCCCAGCAGGCAGCCATGGCACAACGGTCCCCGATCACACGCCAGGCCCACCAAACCTTGAAAATCACCCATGAATGAATTACGTACATCGAAGATTCGTATCACACGACACCATGATTATTCTTCAACACACAGGTGTTATCAGGAGTGCACCGTACTTGAGGTGGGTACATTGCTCGCCAAGACACAGATTGAGCATGTGTGGAGCTAGCACAAGCGGACGACGTGATGTATCATGAGTGATATCCCGTCCACAAACTCTTTTGCTGGTTGAAATGAGAGCGTCCATCTTCCATGGCCTTCAAATCGCTACGATTTAAGACAACATTTTTTTAAAATATGTTCACGGTTGAAGAGAATATTCTCTTCAACCGTGTAGCCAACACGGTGTTGGAGAAAGTCCTCTTGAAGAGAAAAGTAGGGGCCTATCATGCCCCTCTCTTAAACCGTAGCCGCTACTATTGCTGTAAGTTAAAGGCGGGTAATGGTTGTCCTGTGGCAGCGATGACGAAGTCGGAGTACACAGCATCATGCACGTGTGGAGTGTTGTCGGGTTACGGACAGTCCCGTGAAAGGTGGTTCGCGAAATTTCTTTGCTGATGTGTTGTCTTGCTCATGAAAAGTATCATAGAGATGTGTTTTGGATGCTTACGTGATAATAATGCTCTGCTGTCGCCCAAATACTCGTGTTGGTATTCTACAGCAAACGCAACACATTCTTCGTGACACCGTTACCCCCCCCAAAACGGAACCTAAAGTGCCAAAAATGGAACACTTTTGTTCGGGTTCGGACCGTCCCGAGAGGGGTGATCTCGAAAGTCGTTGCTGCTGTGTGTTCTTGCTCATGGCAAGTATCATATTGTAGGGATGTCGTGTTCTGGATGTTAACCTGATGAAGTTCTCTGCTGCCTTCTCGTTAATTACTGCACCCACATATTGGACAGCAAACGCAGCACATCTGCTCGTGAAATTGTTTCACGACAACGGAGACGTATTCTTGACTGCTTTACCACATATTTGATTTTTTCAATTCTGGGGAGTTGACCGCTGCTAGAGTTGTGCGAGAGGACTGCTGTGTCGCGTGGTGTGTTCCCATGAGCAACACCAAGAGCCTTGTCTCTTCCGCAGCCATGATAAGCCGCTGTTTACGTCTGTGGTTGGCAAATGCGGTGTTTGTGGCACACGAGAGACTTCACATCACGAAACTATGCTGTTGTCGGCTGTTGAAGAAATGCAAACACTACGCTGCCACCATAAGCGTATCGAATTTCTACGGATGCCAAGGCTGTTAATTTTCGCGGGGGGGGTGTACTCATGGTCGTGCATGCCGTAGTCGTTAGACCATTGACCTCGCATCCCTACAAAGCCTGTACGGAGCACGCCGGGTTCTCCCCGGACCAGGCTCTCACATCACCAAGCGCGAAGCGCCGTGAGATATTCGGCGAGTCGCATGAAGGGTGCGCTGCATCCTGCTAAGGGTGTTCGGCATCTTGTGCTTACTTCCTTGCATACGGATGACAGCTGCGTATGACTTAATGTATTTTCTGGTGCTTTCACTTCCAGAGACAGTTGTAAGCACTGTGTAACTGCCTCGAGGGTGCTTGACCATTTTAACACAACGTGGTGCGATCATCCCCCTTGCGCGGAGTGAGGGTTCTCCACCCCGCACAACATGATCTACTCGACCACCATTATGGTTACCGCCAAAAAAAAAAACGGAGGTAAAAAAAAAAAACGGTAACCTGGTTGCCGAGTTCACGAAGTGAATTGGCTTGTTTTACAACGTCGTTGCCAAGCGACGAAAACCCAACCCCGATGGCAAACACCGGGGGGGGGGGATCTTCGCGGGGGGATCTGTTTTTGTTGAATATGTTGACATGCACCCAGTGTGGTGAGCTCCAGCGCCATGCTGGCTTGCCATATCGTGTGTGTACTCAAAAGACGAAACGCGCAACCGTCATGATGACGAAAACACTCTCTGCTTCACACAGAAACATCCCGCTCCTGGTGGAAAAGACACGCTTATCTAAGAAACAGACAGCCAAAGAGGAAAGCACCCCACTAGAAGGTGTTCCTGTTGAGTTTTCATGTATAGTCTACCTGAAGCGTTTTTTTTAGCATTCGCAGCCCCTGAAATAGAGCCAGTTACAGCGACTTTTCAACGGCATCACGCGCACCTCCGGTGTCTCGCGAGCCCCACACGTAACGGGTAGTTGTACCGACGGGTCCTCTGGGTGCAATGCAGAAGGAAGTGTGAGAAGAAACTCACCTGTCCCACCAGAGAAAAAAGAACAAAACCAACCACCAAAAAAGAAGTCGGATATGTACATGTGCATACAAAGCAGTAAATACCAAGAGGAGGCTCGGGTGGTGGTTTGTGCGTTCGTGACGCCCTTGTTAGGGTGTGGTATGATCGGCGTGTTTTAGGGTTCTTTCTTTCGGAGACGTATGGCGCATTTGTACACGTCTTGCGAGAGCACATAGGGGGGTTCCGCCTACGAAAGCACAAGCACATGGAATTGAGATGTTGGCGTAGACAATGTACTCTACATGTATGCAGGCAGGTCCCACGCACAAGCCGCCTAGCGTTGCTTGCAGGATGTGATTATCCATCGCCGACGAGCGAATCCCGGACATGATCGGGATCACCACTAGCCAATTTGGAAACTCTTCATGATGCTAGCGCAGGTACAAATGGCCACCTACGTATGTACCAATTTCTTCATCGTGTGGGTTGCGTGGCTCCCCCTCCGACGTGCTTCGTCTCTTTTTTCTTTTTTCCAACATGCGCCAATATGCAAACTTTCTGGGTATACCATGCAGTAGCCTGTGACTACACTGCTGTCCGCGTTGGCTGGACCAGTTACGGGTGTTTTGACGTATCGTCGATACCGACGGTTTCAGGTTTGCTTTCAGATTTATCGAAAGTCGATGTTACTCCGCCTTTTCTCGTTCTCGTGTGTCTGATTTGTGGTCTGTCTGTGTCTGTGTCTGTCTGTCTGTCTGTCTGTCTGTCTGTCTGTCTGTCTGTCTGTCTGTCTGTCTGTCTGTCTGTCTGTCTGTCTGTCTGTCTG